TAAACAGACTACAAGTGTGATGAGGTCAGTGTGATGAGCTCTACGTGTCCCCCTCACGAAGGGACCGCGTGGTCCCAAAACGTCGCAATGAACGTTATTACAGACGACATTCTGAAGCAGATTGGCGTGCAGAAAACATATCTCACCATGTGTCCCACTGATGCGGTGGCAGATGGGACTTGTAGTCTTTTCACTCACAGAACCTGTGAATGGATCAGTCAGTGAATGATAATGCAGTGTGGACAGAGCCACACACAGACACCAAAAAATCGGGGGGAAAAAAACACACAAGATGTGGTGAGGAGAAGGACCAGATGAAACAAAAATCCTCAATGCTACAGCACGATGGAACCATAGAAGCTGTGGGGAGAACCCTGTGATTCAATAGGGGTGGGGGGCAGTTTGGGGGTGGGGGCTAGGGAATGTGACTCTGTTTCATGAGCTCCATCGAGATCCAAGTGTCCCTCTGCCATAGTGGCAGATGGGACTTGCAGTCTTTCAAAAATCCTCAATGCTACAGCACGATGGAACCATAGAAGCTGTGGGGAGAACCCTGTGATTCAATAGGGGTGGGGGGGTGGTTTGGTTTCAATGTGGCCAAGTTTCATATTACATCCACATTTAGGGTCCAAGGGGTGGAATGAACCTTTAAAAGTCCCGCTGATAATACAAGGATTTGTTCTTTAGCAGAAACAAAACAATAAAGCCTCACAAAGCCACACTCCAACATATAACAAGCTGAACGCAAAAGGGCCGAGATTCCCAACGTTTAACCCCTGAAATGCCGCTCCTCCCTTACGGCGGTGTTCTCAGTGAAAGCCATGTGTATGTTCAATATTTACTGCAAGACAAAAGACTGCAGTATACTGCACTGAACTGCCTCTGCATTGTTCGGGGAAGTCAGAGCTCCGGTATGAAGAAGAAAACGTAGGCCTCCCAAATAACTGCAGAGTCATTCCGGGTCTGCCGATTCCATCAACGGGCCCGGCAACTGTTTCTCTGTGCGTGTGCCTCATCTGTTAGGGAGGAGCACAATGCCCGCTCATTGTGACGTTTTACAGCAATCCTACAATGAAACCGACTCAGCCATTTAGAGAAAAAAAAGCAATTACTGACGTATGTGTTCATCACGAATGATCTGCATAACAAAATGCTGGATATAATCACTGTATTACAGCTTTATATTACATGTCATTCCACCATCGCTTTCTGCTTTTACCTTGTGTGCATAGTAACTGTACACAGACGCAGCGTCATGCATGGAACAAAGTAGTGTCCACAGGAGTCCTACAAGGACAACCAAAAATACTGCAATGCTTTGTAATCATCAGGGACTAGAAGTGCCATCCAGGAGTCACACCGGGGTGTGTACTTTACAAATTGTAAAATGAATGCCAGCATGTGTATCAGTGGACCGGCAATGCAATTCATTATGGGATTGTCTTTCGGGCTAGGTTCACACCTGGGCGATCCGTGACCGCACGATATCGCACAAAGCATTCAGGTCTATGGACGCTGTTCACACCTTTGCGATTTGTCACGCTGTAGAAAGCACCTGTTGTGCAAAAAGGTGCAGGAACTATTTTCCGGCGGTTTGAGTCCCATAGACATCTCTACGCATTGACAACTGCGCGGTTTTTAAAGCAAAATCGTGCAAACCAAAAGGTGTGCGGAAACAGCTGGGGTGTCTTCTACATTCCTCGGGGGGGCCTCTAAATTATCACACAGGGTCATGCCTTACACTGGTGCAGGCAGGCTTCTAAAGTGAAGGGGGAACCTTGATGTGAAAGGAGGGGGCTTCTAATGTAAAGGGTGACAATGCTGTCAAGGGCTCCTGATGCAAGGGGGACTCTGATGTGAAAGGAGGGGGCTCCTGATGTGAAAGTAGGGGGTTCCTGATGCAAGAGGGACTGATGTGAAATGGGGGTTTGCTGGTGTAAAGAGGGGCTCCTGATTTGAATCTGATGTGAAGGGGGAATCCCATTTTTTGCGTTTTTGCATGGAGTCTCCCCTTAAAATCCATCCCAGATTCCTATCTGGGATAAGAATATGGTTTGAATTTTGGAGGGGCCCCACGTCATTTTTTACATTTTACACTGGGATGTCTGGAGATTTTCCAGAGAGAACACCGATTTTGTGAAAAGATCCTCCCTTTTACCCCAACTATACTGAAATAACTTCTTGTTAATTAGTGCAGAGCAGTCACAGGAAAGTCTACAGACAGAAGATGGAATGTTCCGCCCACATTTCAGATGGAGAAATTAATTGAAGGTTTACTTTTACTTGGCTGCAGAAAATCAAATGAAAAGCGTGTCAGCAGTGTAATGTGAGCTTTCCGGGGCCTGTGCGATCTATAGCACTATGACAGCACCAGCCATCTAGGGCACAAAGTGAAGGTGACAGGCTTCTTAAAGTGGACTTTCTCATCTGATTTTGTTTTTTTCCAATCCAGCACACCCCTTCCTTCCATTCTCACCTGGGACAAGAATGGCGTGAAGTGCGCTCCTGCAGCCTCCTGGGAAATCTACATCACACAGCGCTGGAGGAAGAACCTGGCGATATTTTATCCGGGGGACAGCTGCAAGAGCCAGCCAGCTCCCAATGACAAAAAAAGGGGGGGGGGGGGTTTGAAATGTAAAATGGCCATACACTCAGATTTTTTTGGATCAGTTTCTTGGCTGAACTAAAAATAATGTAACAGATTCCCTCATTAACACTAAACAGTATGGAAGGACACAGCTCCCGCTGAGGCTATTGTATTCTTACATCTGGCACCCTGCTGTCAGAATACCGACCAGTGACTGCAGCTGATTGGCTGAAGACAACAGTTCAGCCGAAAATTATCAGTCTGGCTCCTTTGATAAAGTCCATTGAGTAATTGACTTGTCAGGAAGGCCACCCACTCTAAGACTGTCGTCCAATTCCTGTGAATCTGCCAAAACTCAAATAGCATATGGCCAGCCTGAGTCTCATTCATCCCATAAGAACCTCAGATACTGAACTCCGGGATGGTAATTCAATCTCTTCAATAGTTCTGATCCATTATAAAAGCAAAACCACTTATGTCGTTTTCTTTGTGCGCAAATTTCAGTGTTATACACATGTGATGTCACGGCTGCATGCAGAGAATCTACAAGCCGCAGACGTAAAGAGGAGGTATCTCAGAGGTAGTGATGTCACTTCCTGTTAGTGTTTGTTGCCGCTCACTGAGATTGCAGTTCCCATTATGTACTGGAAATCCGTCTACAGAATTGTCAGGCATGAGGATGGGACTGTGGGGACTCTGGGACTGTCAAAGTGTGAGGTCATAGGAGGTGGGACAGAGCAGTCTTCTGACCTGTCAATCAAACTACATAGTAACAAGCAGTTCACACATTGGGGTTGATTTACTAAAGGCAAATAGACCCTTCACTTTGCAAGGGAATTTGCACTTAGCAGGGGAAGTTTGCCCATTCGTTTAGTGAATGAGGGGAAGCTCTGCTGACTTCCATCATTCAATCACATTGAATTTTTTCCATGCACATGATTGGGTATTCTTTACAGAGTGAAGTTTCATCACATTTACTAAACTAAGGTGAAACTTCCCCTGCAAAGTGAACAGCCCATTTTCTTTTAGTAAATCAACCCCTGGGAGTCTGTGACTCCCAGGTCCGTCTACTAGAGGGGCAATGTAATTACATGACTGATGGCTGGGGAATGTACAAGACTGGTGACCAGGGGGGGAATGATGGGCATAGCGCACACCAGATATTACGGGATAGAGGACTTTTCCTGGGTCATAATCTAGGCCTCTCACTGCCTGGATGACGGTGTATTCCAGCACGAAGGGATTCCTGAAAGAACCTGTGATCTCCTCTAATATAATTTCTGAGCGGAGTGCAGCTTTAACCAATCACCCCTCCATAGAGGAGCTCTGTGTATAAAGGAGGAATGTGGCTATAGCACCTTGGCTAAGGTTTCTATGACAGCTATGCTGAAACTACAAATTATATCACTCCTCTGCCTCTGGAAGTCATCCCTGTGGCTGTCCGACTCTTGCAAAACCTTGCGGGACTTGTAGTTCCACAACAGATGGAGGGCCAAGATTGCCCATCCCAGCTTAATACAAAGTCCTCCTGGGCACTGGGTCCCCCGCTCCCATCTTCCTAGCCAAGTCATGGAAAGCTGGGTGTCTCTGCGCCCCCATGGCACATGTGCAGTGTGTTTCGGATTGTCCCGATGCCTGCTGGGATGTGTGACAGCTTTGGGTTGCCGGGAATGTCACTCTAGCCTAGGCTAGGAAGTCGGAAACGCAGACTGCCCTCAACAGAAAAAAAAGGGCATTTTACTAAATAAAAATGTTTCTATCTGTAAGAAGAAAGGTGGAGGGGTAACATTGTGCAAAGAATAAACAGTGGGTGAAGGTGCAATTTAAAGGCAGCATGAAGGTCTCATAGGAATAGTGCCAATACCCTCAGCCACCAGGGTTACATGAGGAAAGAAGGCAGCCATGCCAGGCACATTATGACCATATATAATGGAACCTCAAGAAGGGTGAGGAGCTCCCGCATTCTCCGCGGCCTCCACGTAAAGGATAAAAATCAATGGGAGCACGCCATCTTGCAGAAGAACATGGTGTCAGCGGCGGGGGCGGGATTCACGAAAGCCGCTTACGTCAAGTACGTAAATCTCCTGATGACAGTGACCGGGGGGCTACGCAAAAGAGTGAGCGGCCGGCGGCCCGATGCGGCTCCTAGCTGACTGGAAATACCGGTCTGGGCGCTCAGAGCGGCTGACATAACGGATTAGGTGATGCAGTGATGTGACAGGACACACTTCCCATACATGACACCGGGCTGCAGAATAGCCGCATGATGGGAGTCAGCGGGGGGGGTGTGAGCAGCCATGCAGCCCGTTATCCTTCATGATTATAAGTGTGCATCGACCTCTGCACCAGCCGGTGCCTCCACACACAGCCCTGATAACACGTCAATCATCACCACACACCGCGTATCTCTTACCGTCAAGGTCTGAAAGAAGCCCCCGGGGGTTGTTGCCCAGACGTATTTGGCGTCCACGTAACCGACAATGGCGGCCTCCTGGCAGCTGCCATCGGCCATCAGCATATCCACGTAATCCTGCCAGCCGGACATCTTCAGTGGGGGGGACACCGACAGGGGCGACAGAAAGGTATACCGGTGCTGCTGGGGTAGGGATGAGGGTAGCCGGTATCGGGGATGAAGCGGCTCCGTCACGGCCGGAGATAATCTGAGCTCCGCCAGCCGGGAGAAGCCGAGGAAATAGGGCAGCGCCCGGGTGTAGACCCCCTCCCCCCTGTAATGCAGATCCCTCCGCCAGCAGCGGAAGGACACTGGCACACCTCCACGTGCGCGTCCTCCACACGGAGCGGAGACGAGAAGAGGAGAGAGGACAGTCACAGGGAGAGCAGAGGAGTGAAGAGACCAGAGGACACAGGGAGAGGAGAGATGAGAGGACACAGGGAGAGCAGAGGAGGCAGAGAGACAAGAGGACACAGGTAGAGCAGAGGAGTGAAGAGACAGGAAGACACAGTAGGCAGAGAGACAACAGGACACAGGGAGAGCAGAGAAGAGAGATGACAGGACACAGGGAGGCAGAGAGACGACAGGACACAGGGAGAGCAGAGGAGGCAGAGAGACTACAGGGAGATATGAGAGGAGGTAGGGAGAGCAAAGGTGGCAGAGAGAGGAGAGGACACAGGGAGAGAAGAGGAGGCAGAGAGAAGAGAGTACACAGGGAGGGCAGAGAGGAAACAGGGAGAGCAGAGGAGTCAGAGAGAAGAGAGGACACAGGGAGAGCGGAGAGACGAGAGGACACTGAGAGAAAAGGAGGCAGAAAGAGGAGAGGAGAGCTACTTTTCTTGACAGGATCGGGGTTAGACGCCCTTATCCTGCAGAGGGGACCCACATCTTGAGGGCCGTTACCTTTCCCCTGGAACATGTAAAGTAGTTTACTTCAGGTCGGAGGGTGAGCTTTAATCACACTGATGGATGCGATATGATGGGAATCAATTTAGAAGGTGCTCGTTGAGGCAGAATGAAGGATTCTGTCATTGACAACAGATTAGGAACACACTGCAAAAAGCAGCTGAAAATAATCAGGCAATAATAATTAGTCCTCCAATAATCTGTCTAAAGGTGCCCATACACTGCTCGATTCTCGTACGAGAATCGCTGGAAATCCCGCAATCGTACGAGAATCGAGTAGTGTGAACGAAGACGTGCGACCGTTTCTACTGTACGGTCGCACGTCTTTTGTCTAAGGAGCACACTAGAAAACCAGCCGAAAATCGTACGATTTTCGGCTGGTTTGAACGGTGCTCGGGAGACGAATGTCGAACGGGCCGGTGTGCGCACGCGCACACTGCTCGTTCAGCATTGCGGTCATCGGAAGTCCGCCCCTTAGGGGGGCGGTCTTGCAATGATCGAGAGTACGATCTGTCTGTCCAAGATGGGCAGATTGTACGTTTTTTTAAATTACTTTACAACCATCGCAAGACTAAGGTCTTGCGATGGTTGTAAAGTGTATGGCCACCTTCAGACTTCCCATACTAGGTAGCCACCCAAATATCCAGTCCCACCAACTACCCGAAACGTCCTGCTTAATTCCTGAAGCTTGAATATGTGACTGAATAGAAGAAGCATGATTAGTTAGATTAAAACAACACATTCCCTCAAAATGTTCACATCCTAATTGTGTTTAAGGAGTTAATAATCTATGGCTACTCTATTCTGAAGTACTGCCTCTCGTGTTCCCTGCAGGTCAAGGAGCAACTCTTGCAAAGCAGCAGAAGTGTGATTAGGGCTCTTTGCCATGTTACAGGCTAGAGCATTAATTGTCCTAGTGTTATAGACTGCCAACGATGGCACTCCCACAAGGAATACAGCTAAGCTAACATATTCTGTTCTGGAGAGTAGGGTGATGTCTGATTCACAGTCCTCTGGGACCGCTATAGTTGCTCTCCTTGGTCTAGCAGCTGTATATCCTTGTGACTCAGGCAATATAATACTAAAACGGCTTAGGGTACAGGGTCCTCCAGTGATGTTTCATGGAATGTAGGACAAAGTGGTGTTTCCACAAGAACATAACCATCCTATAGGCAATTTAACATGTCTAGTGTGGCTGGGCGGAAATACAAGGCTATTACAGCTCACCTTATTATCTATTATGGTACATATCCTATAGCACTGCAGAGGGCCTTAATTACTGGAGGGACAGAGGTTGGAGTGGCCTTGTCAGAGAGAGAGTTGTTGACACCTCCCTATTATTATTATACAGGATTTATATAGCGCCAACAGTTTGTGCAGCGCTTTACAATATAGGGAAGACATAATTACAATTCAAGACAAGATGGTAAGGAGGGCCCTGCCCATGAGGGCTTACAATCTAATTGAATTAATAATATGTGACCAGGACCTTTGTAGTAGGTGCCACACCCCTGGAAAAGTTAGTAGCAAAATAGAAAAAGATGGGGGGTTTTAGGCACCAAAATGACAACTGCAAAACACATGATTATCCGCGCTATAGTGCTCTACCCAGTGGCGTAACAATCACCATAGCGACCCAGGCGGTCGCTATGGGGCCCGGGGCACAGTGGGGCCTGGCCAGATGCCGTGCGGGTCGCTATGGGAATCTTCTGCTGCTGGCTTTCACTGGCGTCTGAAGACGAACACGCCGCTGTTCAGATCATCTGTGCAGCGGCGTGTTCGTCTACACAGTCAATGAGAGCCAGCAGCAGCGGGGAGCAGGCTGGACACGGTGTTCTATCAACGTCGCGAGCCTCTGACGTCACCGGCAGTGGAGGAGGAGGCGGGCCCGTGCTCGGCAGCAGGGGAGGAGGCGGCCTCGGTGATGAAGAAGAAGGCGGGCCCGGCGACGGAGGAGGTAAGGAGTGCGACCAGCCCACCTGAGGGTGATCCTGCAGAGCCCACCATAGATAGTCTATGGTGGGCTCTGCAGGGTCACCCTCAGGTGGGATCTCGAGTGGGCTCTGCAAGGGGTATAACTAGAAATCACGGGGCCCCATACAAAATTTTGCTATGGGGCCCTGTGACTTCTAGTTACGCCCCTGGCTCTACCCCAAACTCCTCAATAGCACCCTATTGACAGCTGCAGAGATAGAGAGAAGCTATATAAACGTCTCCCGTACCAAAATGACAACCCCAAAGACAATGGACCATAAAAAATATATTTAATGTTTGTGATTTAAAAAAATGGGCAATATAAATTCATAAAAGCAGCCAGCTAATCAGATAGCTCCCTATAAGCTCACTCCGTTACTGATCCATCCCTTGTAAATATACACATGATTGAAATGAATCACAATACATGATTGGTTTTAGAACATGATTCTAAATGACATGATATATGGTGCAGTTTGGTTTGGAATATGATTCTAGATAATTAGCATAGTATAACATCATATAATACAATTGAGGATGGCTGACAGTGGAGGAGGAAATTCTGTGTCGACGTTTCGCACTCAAAGGCGCTTATCAGGAGAAGGAGAATATCACTTTAGCAGATCAACATGTGTGTATATAAAAATATATATTTTGGTGCCTAAAAACCCCCCAGCTTTTTCTGTTTTGCAGCTTACAATCTAAGAGGGAGGGGCAAGTGATACATGGGGGGATGAATTGTTCGAGAAAGTTATAGTTCAGTGGCTAGTTTGAAGTGTGATAGGCTTCCCTAAAGAGATGAGTCTTTAGCGATCCCCGAAAGGCAGTCACAGGTCATGTTATAACATACATCACAAAGAGTAATATTAAGGGTCCTTATATTTGTCATATTTTCCTAACTCTTGGATGGGTCTGGACAGTCCCTGCAAATGTACTTGCGTAGGAATTGCTATCAAGCAAGTGGCCAACAGGTAAAGAGGGTTATGCACGTCTGACAAACTGAAATTAGAGGTATTCATCAGATTTTTTTTTGCCATATAAACCCAAACATTTTCAGATTGCTTCAGCAGCTCGTGTGATTGTCTTTATAGTTTTGCATTATTGTCACTTGCCCAGGCCCATTTGCAATTATCATAGACAGAACAAGCAATCAAATAGACAGTTATTCCAAACATAAACTTGATTGCACAAAACACTACTCCCCCCTCACTGTTCAGTGGGGATCTTTTTGCAGTGGCTTGCATGCATCCAGGAATTCTTGCCTTCAAGCTTTATAGAGGTAGAAGTAGTCAGCAGAACGTGGAAAGGACCCTCATATAACTCATGGAGACCCCTTCTTTGTGGTTTCTTCAGAACTACATAGTCACCTTGATAAAAGGAGTGAGAGCCTAGAACGACACCAGGCTAAGGTAAAAAAGAATAGACAGTCTCATGTGTTTCAGTGAGACATATATTCAAAGGGACCCTTAGGTAGTAGTTGAATGTAGTCTATCTGAAGTCTTTGGAATGGATAGGCTGGCTTTGGCAAATGCCTCGGAGGATTGTTTTCAGTACGCCCTGGGTTGTGACATGCACAGACAATGTACCCTGCAGCAAACCTACGAGCTACACATAGGATTTCTGGAGAGGTGAATGGGACCATGGGCAAGATCTGCCATGATAGGGTACAAAACCCTGGGAAGACACAATTGGGCTCTGCATTTCTCAAAAAGGCCTTTATCGTCCAGCTGAGCTCCTTGGGTTTCCCACACTGCTTTCTCTTTCTTTGAGGCCTGATCCTGTAGGTGGGCTAATGTGCCTAAATCCCAAGACTCAGGTGTAGCATCTACTATACTCGCATAAGTGCCAACTGTTTCTAAGGCAGCCTCCTTCCCTTGTGCTTCAGTGATACCTTGTCTAGTATGTGCCTTGACCTTATGGACCGCAACTGCTTTTGGTAAATAAAACGCAGACAACTGTTCAACCAAATCTGCATGTTTAATGGGTGTGCCTGAGCTAGTCACAAAATTATGTCTCCTCCAACTAGGCCCAAAATCGTGTGCTATCGTGTGCGTACTTGCTGTCTGTGTAAATATTGCCAGACATCCCTTCCAAAGCTTTACAAGCTTCTAGAAGTGCTGTAAGTTCAGCTTCTTGAGCTGACATGTAATTTGGCAACAATTCTTTCTTGAGGACCTGAGATGTGTCTGGATCTTGTTCCACTGAAGCAAACCCTATGCAAGGTTTTCTATCAACATAAAATCTGGACATGTCTATAAAAAGATTCCTGGTACCTGGATTAGTTATAGGTGTACTTTGGTGTAATTGAAGCCAATTCTGCTTCCATTAAAGTAGAACTATGAGGCGAGTGAAAATCACTCATCCTCATAGTTCAAGCCGCCATGTGACAATTAAACTGTCACACGTCGGCTCAATAGATCGGGAAGTGAGCAAACGCA